GCCAAACCTGATGACCTGAGTTCCATTCCCAAGACCAACATGGAAGGAAGAGATCCAACTCCCACAAGTTGTCCTCTGACTTTCCACATGTACACCATGGCATGCATGCACCCTACACACACAATAAATATTTAGGAAATGTTAAGAGTTTCAAGCAAAGCTGTGCTAAATAGCAAGACCTTGCCTCAAAACAAAACAAAAGCAACAAAAAAATCATGTGACAACTTAGTCTTTGAATAGAGATCTAGTTACTTGAGAAAGTGACGCTGTACATGGATACACATATGTGCACACTGATGACGAGGTCGGACATTAACACCTGGTATCTTCTTCACACACTCTCCTTTCTACCTTTTGAGATAGACTTAGTCTCACTGAACATGGAGCTCACAATTCAGCTAGACCAGCAGGCCCCAAGCTCCAGAAAGTCTCCTGTCTCCACCTTCCGAAGCAGCCCTGGGATTAAAGACATAAGTTGCTGCATGGAGGTTATATGTGGGTGGTAGGGATCTGAACGCAGGTCCTCATGGCTGTGCAGCAGGTCATGCTCAGCCTGCACTCGCCCTTTTAAACTGTCCTTTCCCCTTACTTTACAAAACAACTCATACTGAGACACTCAGGTTGTCTCTCCTACTGCTATCCTTGGAGCTAGCCTGGACCCAGAACCTTTCCAAATCTGGTTCTCCAAACACAGAGCAACAGATACTAGGTTCTGAAGGATACAACATCCTTCCAGTACATAAGTTACTCTAAGTCCATTTGTGGATGTTATGTATCTCCTTTAGATACTGTTCCTGGACTCAGACTCCACAAACAAAACTTCTATACTAACTATATCCTTCTATTAGCTGGAATTACTTATTAGCAGTCAACCACAGCCCAAGTTCCAAGTTCAGTTTCCTTAACACAGCAAATGAGGCCCAGGAAATTCTAATTTAGCTAAGCCTATTATTGACACCAAAATGAGCAGCAATCTCAATTCAAAATAATTCACTCTATAACCAGATCTTTGCTATCTGTGATGGTTTGAATGTGAACACCCTCCACAGGCTCCTATATTTGAATGCTTGATCCTTAACTTGGTGGAACTATTTGGGAAGGATTAGGCGGGGTGTGTGTGTGTGTGGCCTTATTGGAGGAGGTAAGTCACTGGGGGTGCGGTGGGGGGCAGGCTTTGGGGTTTCAAAAGTCCATGTTATTCCCAGTTGGCTCTTTCTTTCTTTGCCTTGTGGACATAAGCTCAAGTGTTACTGACTGACTGCTGTCATATTCCCTGATGTGACAGCCACAGGCTCATCCTATGGAAATGTAAGCCCTCAGCTAGATGATTTCTTTTACAAACTGCTTCAGTTGTCATGTCTCTTCACAGCTAGAAAGGTAACTAAGACACTGCTCCACTCTCTGCCACAACAAGCTGATCAATGAATAGCTAGAACTGAGCCATAAAAATTTTCTCTCCCAAGAATTTAAAACTTGGCAGGAACGATCAGAGAGTTCTAACTCCAAAGTTGCAATTTTCAACCAGGAACAGTTTTATCCCCTGGGGAAATTTTGGAAATTCCTAGAAATAAACACCTCACACTTCAGAGAGTAGTCCTCTACAGCAAAGACCTGTCGTCTAGTCTACAACCTGAAACTGACAGGCTTGCTCTAAGATGAAGGCCCAGGGAAATTCAAGGAGTCTCCCTGTCTCCCACTTGTCTCAGGCTGTGTGGTCAGATCTTCCTCTGAATCTGTGACCTACCCAACAGCTTCAACTACATTTCCCTTTTTACTTAAATTGACACATTCTGTTGCCTGTAAACAAAATAACCAGAGCTAGCAAGGTCATCAAGCTCAATCACCTGATACACATCTACATATTTTAAACCAGTTTCTCAGTCTTCCCGCTGCCGACATTTGGACCAGATGGGTTTTCGGTTTAGAGGTGTGTGCTGGCTATACATGGTAGTGTCTGGCAGTGTCTCTGGCCTCTACCCACCAGGCGACAACCTTCCAAGTCAGTCACAATAATCAAAACCATTGCCCAATGTCCCCAAAGGAACAAAGTTCCAGTGATTGACAACCACTGCATCAAACAGGACAGACTCCACCCCATGAGGTACAGTCTACCTAGTGAACTCCTACTCTGCAGGAAACCCTGTGTATCATACAGCATGCCCTGAGGCTAAGCCACCGGAGGCCAGCATCTGTACTTGGATCTTTCTTATCACTTTTCAGTTCCAGTATAATTAAAGGTGTACCTTTTGTCCCTGCCTGTCTCAGGGTGTGTGGTTAGATTGTCTTCTGAACCAGTGATCCACCCAACAGCTTCAACCACACATATTTCCCTGCATGTATACCTACACACATGTGCACAGAGAGACACAGAGCAACAGATAAAAAGGGGTAACGGTGAAATGACAGGTAGTTCCTGCTGGAGCTTCCTTTCTTATATGTAAATGTTTTAAAGAACTTTCCATTCCCTTACGGGGGTGGGGGGGAAGAAGATTCCCCTGTCACCACCTTCAATACATACCCTGTTCCGCCTAAAAAATCTGGGTAATTTCTCTTTCAAAGGCTTTTCCTGTTTCATTTCTCTTAAAATATCACACTTCTAACCTCTTCCTGTCTCTTTACACACCCCATAGCTGTTCAGATCAGTTAAGTCTACAAACTTTTCATTAAAGCAAGAGGCACTTAGGAAATGAACATTAGGTAAGAAACAGAGACATGACTTATAATACTCAAACCATGCAGTATTTATTTAAAACATAAAGTATGTGTCAGTTTCATATAAAACAATTCCTCTTCCACACTTGTCCAATATGCCAACTTCGAAAGTGCTGCCCAGCCTCCAGTACTGCCCATTTTAATCTTAAAATGTTAAGTTTCACTCAGAGTGACCATTCTATTTTTCTAGACAGACTTCTTCCTGGAAGAGTCCCTGCAGGCAAGCCTGGAAGGACTTGGACATTTTCCTCATTTTTCCTCTCTATGACAGTACAGGTTCCAACCCGCTCCCACAGTGTATTCCAGCACTGGACTCAGGCTATGCTGCCAAGGATGATCTTGATCTGACAGCCTTCACCTCCTGAGTGCTGAGACTATAGCAATCTCTCATCACAGTGGGTCTATGAGGTGTTAGGCATTGAACCCAGGGCATCTTTGGTGCTAGGCCAGCACTCTACCCAGACTGGTAAACTGAGTTCCATCTCCAGAACACACATGGGGGTAGGTGAGACCCAGTTATCCTCAGACTTCCATACAAAGGCTGGATCAGGCACTCGTGTGCACACTTGGATGCATACGGTAAGTAAAGGAAAAATATAATAATCTTTTAAAGCATAAACTAGAGATGGTTTCCCCATTTAAAAAGAAAGAAAATGCTAATGTTCCAGAAACTTTGTGACTTAAAAAATAATGCTCATTACTATTTACCACACAGGTGTAAGAAACCAGGAAGATTATAATGTAATCCTAAGGACTTAACTCTAAGGATGTGAGACTTATCTATGTGATAGAGTAAGCCATTACATTCTGCTCTTAAGAGGTCTTCCCGAATGGACTTATACAAGAGAATTAAAGGATAATGCCCTAAGGCACTTATCGACTGAATTCAATTTTCTTTTAGGCATACTGAGTGATACGGTACCACTATCCTTGGGAGAAAAATAGGCAATAAAATCATTGTTTATGGATCTGAATTTTCTTATGGATCTAGAAATAGGCAAGTGTGAAGTGCATCTCATGAGTCAGACTTATCCTAATAGACATTATTCAAAATAAGATGACTCAGTATTGCACTGTCTATATAATTAAAAAAATATTTCCAACAAAGCATGGTAGCACAAACCTGAAATCTTAGTACTCAGGAATTTGAGGCAGGGTGACACTAAACTAGAGGGTAGCCTGGGATTTGTCATGAGTTACAGGACAGCCTGAGCTACATAATCTGTTTCAAACACACACACACACACTTTCTAATTAGTGATATTAAGAACCAAACACATGGTCACAAACTTTGCTAAAGTTTGATATTTTATGTATACATACTGTATGTATTATGTTTTATTCAATATGTCAGAAAAATATCTGCTGAATCATAGTATTGTTGTTCAATATGTTCTCAACTGTAAAATATACACATATTTATATACATATATACATATACACATGTCCTGAGAATGAAGACTTATGTTTAGTATACAAGTCTATCATTAAATCTGAGAACCTTCCTTTAATCAGTTAAAAGCATTCATTAACTTACAAATAACAGAGGAGAGAAAGATACCCTAACCAAGAGCTTTTAATTCCCTGTCACCAACTTGGAACAGGATCCTACATTTAGCCTGTGTCTTGAGACAAATATGGAGAAGCCAAGAGCTGTAACAAACTGCCAGTTTACTGAGTCATGTTTCTGACTAAAACTGTGTTATGAAATGGAAAGAATGACACGTCTGGGATTTAAACACCAGAGACATTAACTCCCTGAACTCAAGGGTCTCGGAAGCAAAATCGGAAAACTCTCCAGGAAGAACGATGCGGGACTGAAAACGACTTCCTTGGAGCACTTGCCAAAGCTGAGAACTCCTGCTTTATTTCCCTAAAACAAATCCGAACTGTGCAAACAAGCACACCCTCCCGTGCATCGGAGCGGGAACGCCAGGTACGGGGCACCGAGAACAATCACAAGGTTAACGTTTCACTGGCACACACACACACGCAAACACACCCCAGTCCTCCTCGGTTAACGGAATCGCTCTGCTCCGAGCCCCGGGAGCTTCCGAGCCCGACCGGGTCCCGGCCCACCCCATCCACCCAGCACCTGAGTGACGCGGGGGACGTCATCAACCTCGGCGCAGGAGCGGCCCCCGGCAAAGACCCCGGCCCGTCGAGCCCCGCCGCCCTCCGCGTGACTCCCGAGGCCGGTCGGGGGCGCCAGCAGCACCGGCAGAGGCCGGACCTGTACCCCAGAGCCGGCGGCCAGCGGAGGGGACCGGCCCCGCGCTCTCGCTGACCTGGAGAGGTGCTTCAGGATCTGTTTCTTGATGATCCCAGCCATGGTGCCTGCCGGGCTCGAGCGCCGCTCTCTCGCCGCTCCTCACAGCCTCCTCCTCTCTTCGCGGTGGTCTCCTCTCAGTCTCGCCTCACCGGGCCGGAGGAGAAGCGCCGGAGCGCTCACTCTCGGGAGAGACTCGAGGCCCTGGCCGAGGCCACAGCCGCCGCAGCCGCCTCCGAGAGCCCGGAGCATGACGCTCAGGCCGCCGCGGCTGCCGCCAGCGCCATCTTGGCTGCAGCATCACCTAAGAGACCGGGGGCGGGGAGAGGAGTCGGGGGCGGAGCGAGCTCGAGGTGGGCGGGACCTGTGGGAATTCGGGAATCTTCAGCCCTGCCCACTTCGGACTGCCGCCAGGTCCTCAGCTGCCCTGATTCAGCAGGACCCATTGACTCCCCTTCCCAGATGCTACTTGGGCTTTCATCCTTTCTCCATCTCCCCTTAATTTTGTCTGTGCCTTTGTCACTGTCTTTCTCCTCCTAGTCTTGCTTCTTCACTTCCTCCGAACTCAACTTTCTGCTCTACAAATAGCGTTACTCTTTTGACCATTTCAGCTTTTTATCTCAGTTTCTTTTCCCAAGATACTTCCCTTAGCCTAAAGAATGTAATTTAATGTTTCTATTCGTTAATCTAGTCTTAAAGGAAGTAAAATTGACCGCAAGTCATATTTAACTGGATATATCTAAAGACCTGAAATTAGAACATCTACGGCCTCCGTGGTGGTGGCGCACGCCTTTAATACCAGCACTTGGGAGGCAGAGGCAGGTGGATTTCTGAGTTCGAGGCCAGCCTGGTCTACAGAGTGAGTTCCAGGACAGCCAGGGCTATACAGAGAAACCCTGTCTCGAAAAACCAAAAAAAAAAAAAAAAAAAAAAAAACCTCGATGCCCAAACCACCATGAAGGAAAGAACTGATCTTGAAGGAAAGAACTGATCTCGAAAGTTATCCTCTGGCCACACACACACGAGCACTTAGTAGACATTTTTAAATGGAATGTCTAGATTGAAATCCTGGTTCTAACATTTTTCTAGCGATGTTACCCTGGAAAGATTGTTTTCATCTTTAGCTTTACTTAATGTATGTGTGTAACTATGAATGTGACTTTGGTCACTCAGTGGAGGTCAGAGAACAGCCCCAGTGTAGAGCCCCACCTTCTTCTATCTCCTCCCTAACAGCTCCTTGCATACTCCAGATTAACTGGCTCCAAGGATCCTCTTGTTGGTCTCTTGTTGCCTCTCCCATATTGCCTAAAGAGTGCTGGGATTACAGACATCTATCTGGCTTTATGTGAGTTCTGGAGACTCAAGTTCAAGTCCTCACGCTTGCATGGCCAGTGTATTGTCTGCCAAGCCAGCTCTCCCAGCCAGTTAAACTCACAGTTAATCATCTTTAAAATATAGTGTCTGCCCTTAGAGATGGTTTGGCAGGGGCCCTTGTAGGTACTGTTGGCGTGTCTGGGTCATATTGGCTGGCCGCCTGTTGTAGAAGCAGGTTTTGGAAAAGATAATGAATCACTAAAATGTTTCATGAACAGTTGGGAGATAGACAGTCCAGCCATTTGAAGTGGGAAAAACCAGTAGTAAAGTTAACAATGCTTGAAGCATGCCAGGTTAGCAAACAAGAATTTGCTAACACAAATACTATGTGGGGATGAAAGCGGTCTGAGCTATTCGAAAGGAATCAATCTGGGTGTCGTGACACACAGGTCTGTAATCTCAGGACTTTAGGAACAGAGGCTGGAGGATTGCTATAAGTTTGAGGTCATCATGATCTACCTAGCAACACTCTCTTTTTTTTAACAAAAAAAAAAATCAAGTTTTTAAAAATAACAACAAAACAAAAATGTAATTACTTGGACATAGGATCCATAACAACTCATAAAAATGCCTGTCTTGGGACTGACTCCTATTTGAAAGCTGGCATGACAGTCATGTGTTGTACTTCAGAGCCTTACTAGACTAGCGAAGGCTGCCTACAACTGGCCACGTCCTGTCCCTGGCCAGGTGACTCATTCACAGTCTCCACCCCAACCCTGCTCCTCTCGGTCTCTTAGCTTCAGTAACATAGCATTCCTTATCCCCAGGCCCAACCCCTTTCTTCAGATGACCTAGGATGACCTAGAGTTTCTTATCTTACAAATAACTATAGGTAGAAATCAGCTATATTTACAGAGGAATAAATGTTAAAAGTAACATTTGACTGACAAAACAAAAGCTTTGGGGGTGGAGCAAAGAAGGGTTAGCCCAACCTCCTGCTTTGTCCTGATTATGAACTATTAGGACAAACAAACGTAGAACACAAGGAAGTTCTGAAGGCCCAGTCAGTCTCTGAGCGCAGTGCAGACTGGATCGTCTAGTGTACTTCAAACCGCCAACACCCACAGGCACCTTTTCTCCGCCCTGGACTTCCTACAGAGTCATAATAACTCTGATTATAGCAGCTCCCTGCCTTCATCATGTTAGTTTAGGGGCTGGAGAGATGGCTCAGTGGTTAAAAGCACTGGCTGTTCTTCTAGAGGAAGTGGGTTCAAATCCCAGCATTCACTTGGTGATTCACACCTGTTTGTAACTCTAAGATCTGACACCCTCACACAGACATACATGCAGGCCAAAAAAAAAACCAATACACATAATTTTTTTAAATTTTAGCTTATATGTACTCATAGTACACACAAATGTATGCAAACGTTAGGGAAAAGATTGGTGCAATTAATCTTTAGCATCTTTAACATTTTTTTTTGGAGCCCTTTGATTTTAAAAGCATATATCCAAAAGGTCATTTATATATCATTTATTTATTGGTTAATTGAGATATGCTAATTTATATGGACATATAACCCACATGTATCTAACTTGGCTATGGTATGCAAACTTAATTTTAAAGTTTAAAATGAGCCAGGCAGTGGTTGTGCATGTCTTTAACCTCAGTACTGTGGAGGCAGAGGAAGACAGAGCTCTGAGTTTGAGGCCAGCCTAGTCTCCAGAGCAAGGTCCAGGGTAGCCAGGGCTACACAGAGAAACCCTAACCCAGAGAGAGGGAGAGGGAGGGGGAGGGGGAGGGGCAGGGGGAGGGAGAGAGGGAGAGGGAGAGAGAGAAAAGAGGAGAGGAGAGGAGAGAGAGAAAAGGAGAGAGAGAAAAGGAGAGAGAGAATAAATTAGTTAATAACTTCATTTTTTAATCAGTATTTTTAAAAGTTATAGGCAAGCTGGGTACTGGTAGTGCACAACTTAGGTCTCAGCACCTGGAAGACAGAGACAGGCAGCTCTCTTAAGTTCAAAGCCAGCTTGGCCTACAGAGTGAGTTCCAGGACAGCCAAGGTTACAGAAAGAAACTCTGTCTCAAAAAAGAAAAAGAAAAAAGAAACAAACAGAAAAGGAAAGAAAATATGTTATGCGCAGATATAGGTAATTCCTGCACCTTGGACTATTTCAGATATGAGTATACATCAGAAATAATTGTTTTCAAAATATGCTAGAAAAAAATGAAAATAAACTAGGGATTCATAAAAAAAATCTGTGATATCAAAACAATAAAATAATATAGGGTAATTCTATCAGCTTATCTACTTGGCTAGGTTGTTGCACTTAAATAAATGCATATGTAAATGTCACTTGAAATTCTCTGTATTAAAAAAAAGGAAATTGTTGAAATAGGAAAAACTGTTACATTTTATTCCTCTTTGTCACCCAGCCACAAGGAGGTGTTTTTTAAGAGTCAAAAGTGACCACAAAGTTATGTCTACAAAAGGAAGAGAAATTGCACTACCTCCTAGGGGTGCACCAGGAAGGTACATGAGTTTGGAGGATAGTTTATGCATAATCGAACAATGTAACCTGTTTTGATGAACTCGTGTGTAATTAAGACAGTTCCTCATACCTGGAGTCATAGCTCATCAAGTAGAAACAGGACCATTTGAGGCCTGGAGTTTGAGGTTAATGAGAGAGGATAGAGTGAAAAATTAGAGGATGTGGCAGAGTTGAAAAGAGGTAGAACCAGAGTGGTTGGGGGAGGAAGGAAGGGAGAGGGAAAGAAAGGCCCGCCCTTGAGAATGGAAGGGAAAAAAAAAAAACGTGTGGGTTGACAATTCATGTTAACATTTAATCATATACTATAAAGCAAAGCCTTTAAAAATATCTGTGGCTTGCTGGTAGTGGCAACCTCCCTACAAGAACACACCTTTTCAAAGAAACACCTCCACCCCTCTCCAGAAAGGAGAGGGGGAAATGCGAAACAGGTCCTGCCTGCTGCGGAGCCCCAGCTCCTAGCTCAGGCTGCTGTAAAATCACCACAGCCCTTAGCCCCGATTAAAAAGGAGCCCTTTTCTGTTTTGGCTGGTCTATTCTCCGCTAACCTCTAGGAAGAGGAGCAAGGCCGACTGTAGGATGTTCCTTCCGGAGGACGCAGGATAAAAAGCACCCTAAAATAAGTGGAAAACCACCCCAATAAACACGTTTTGGATATTTTGGGGAAAAAAATCTAGGTTTCCCTAAACAACAAAACAAAAACCATTCCTGCACCCTAAGAGTAAACAACCTTAAGTGAATGTAGGGTCACGAGACCAAGACCCGCGCTCTTGAGTCTCTTGACTCAAGCTCAAAATGTTGTTACTTTTTGTAATGTGAACTTGGGCAAGATTTTTTTTTTTTTCTTTTAAAGGCTTACCTGTAGGAGATAGTTGTATCTAACCTCTGTAATTTGTGAGGGCTGAATGAGAGTCTGTGTTAGTATTCTGTCTAAACTCCACCTCCACAGTTACCTGGCAATAGCCAGGTATGCTCCTCCCCACAGCTACCTGGCAACAGCCAGGCAGGCCTGCCCACTATAAAAGGGGCTGCCTGCCCCCCTCCTCTTTCTCTTACTCCCTTGACCCCTAGCCTGCAACTTTCCCCTGTTTCCTTCCCCCTCCCCCCTTCCCTTCCCCCTCTCTCCACGTGATCATGGCTGGCCTCTACCTTTCTGCTTGCTCTCCCTCTCTCTATCTCTCTGCCTCTACTACCCTCCTGGCTCTCCTCCCCATGCCTTGAATAAACTCTATTCTATGCTATACCGTCATGTGGCTGATCTCTCAGGGGGAAGAGATGCCTCAGCATGGGCCCGCTGAGACATCCCCTTCCATCATTGGTTTCCTTCCATCTTTTCAGTCTGCACATCTTTTAACGAAGTGCCAAGTGTGAAGGAAACTTTCTAGATGGTGGTGTTACTATTCATCATCGGTTTTTTAGAAGGAAGCAAAGCATTACGAGAACACAGTGAACAGAAAGA